AGAACCCAAAATTAACGTCAAGAACCTTTAGGTACTTCATGGTACTCTCAAAAAACCTAAAGAGCTTAGATTTACAGTGTACTTAAGGCCTTAGCCAAGTAGTCCAAGTACATTATATATGACTTTTGATTTGTTACTGTCATAGGTTAGACAACTGCGACTGTTTGCTTTTGCAAAGCGCTTGCTTGCCGTTGAGATAACAGCCGCAGAATCTCTTCTTTATAAAATTGTGCATATTGACATATTAGGTGGGAATCATAACATCTTAGATTATGGATTAATACAGGGACCTTTGTCACACCAGGCCTAGTACGAAGCTTAAAATTGCACTCATTGTGAGCAGCGCATTGATATTTTCTTTTTATGTAACAATGGTAAGAGACTTTATCATTATTAGGATTTTTATCACAATTGTGGCAGACTGTTGCTTTCGCATAAAAGGTTTTACCATCTTTAGACATTTTTTCGCATAAACCTTTTATGCGAAAGGAACAGTCTGCCACATTTGTTCACAAAAGCTCAACTTAATTAATTGCAAAGCAACTACTTTGCAGCTATTACTATGTCAAAGTTAGGTACCTAACTTTGAAAAAGTAATAGCTGCATAGTAGTTGCTTTGCTATCAATTAAGTTGAGCTTTTATTGATAAGCTTGTTACTTTATTTGCGGTCCTTTTACAGACATATTTAAGGCTAAAAAGTTAGCATAGATAATGTACGGCATTTGATTTTGACCATATCTATTTTTTCACGTATTAATTTAAAGAGTATATTCCAAAGGTAGAATGATTATGTTGACCGCATTATGTGTTCCACATGTGGGCCACACCAATTATTAGTTTATAGATCGATAATCATCTAGAGTATAGATTTACACTTTTATTCCACTTATAAGCACTCCCAGCCGACACAAACACGTCTTTTAAACGTTTCTTTTTTTTGCATCTAAAATATTAACACCTTTAGATATTTAAATTCAGATAAATATATCTATAAGTAGTCATCTTTTAGACGGCTTGAGACAGCTATTATTCGTCGTTTCAAAGATAAATACAATTAGATGTCTTATAGTTATCTGAATTTAGATATCTAAAGGTGTTAACATTTTAGATTCTAAAAATACGTGTTTGTGCTGGCTGGGCTATGACCACATGTGGGACACATATAACTTTCTTTTCGGGATGTTATAATTTAAATTGCTTTTTTAATATTTTTGATACTTTTTTATGTTGAATATAATATTTTTTTGGAGTTTTTTTTTTAAGTTTATATTTTTATTTTATCTCATAAAAAATATACTTTTTGTTTCTCAAATAAATTATTACATTCTTTCTCTTTAGAATTATTATTTTGAAGAGATATTAGCCCATCCCATTTTGACCCTCATAATCAAATTTTAATACGCGGAGTGTGGTAAAATATTCCCCAAGGTAATGTTTTCATAGTAATTTTTTTTTTTTTTTGATGACTATTTACACTCGCGCCACTCTTTTAAAGTTTAACATTTATACATTTTTTGAGTTTTTACGGTTTTTTTCAAACAATCGGTGCAAATAGAAGTTTACAAATCATTAACTATATAATAACGTCATTACAAATAATGGAAGGTTTTTTATCTATACCGATTGTGCGCATTTTTATTATTACTATTTTTATTAACTGGTAATATTTAAAAAATAAGGCCGGCGAATACTCGTTAAAATTTGGATTACGAAGTTTACTGAAAGGCAAAGTTAAACTCGGTTTCAACTTCGGTGCCGAAGTTGAAATAGAAATTCGGCTTTCAATTAAGTTTGGTAACAAATTCAAAATTTCATTTAACTTTCATTTGAAAGCAATAAAGTTTTTTTCGATTTATAAAGAAGAGGAATTATAAAATATATTAAATGTTTTTATGTATATCAACCTGTTTCTATTGGTTACAACCGAAAAGTGTTAAGGAGTTAAAGAGTTAAGAGACGGTTGTAACCAATATAAGAAGTAGCTTCCTTGGTTAAAGTGGCCCACACTGCTTTGGGAACATGAATTTGATAAAAGAAAAAAAAAAAAAAATTTTTGTAAAAATCATAAAAAATTCCCAAAATTTTTTTCAATTAGATGTGTTTTTAAAATCCAAGTTAGGCTTTCAGTTAAATTCTGTTTAGAAGGTCAAATTCGTCAAATCGTGGTAAAACCTTAGAGGTGTTTAGTATTGGCGTTAGTATCTTTTGACCGAGATCACAATATAAAAATGGTATAAAGTTCTGTATTCAAAAACAAAGAGAGGTCTAAAAAGATGTAAAATGGATAGAATCAAAGCTGTAATCGTTTTGAAAGCATCTAAAAAACTTCTAATAAATCTAAATCTAATTAATTTTTAATAAGATAAAATCTCATATGCTTATTAGATTTTCAAAATCGTGAATCTAATAAGCATAGTTTAATAAATTAATTTCTCAAAACAAAAAATAAATTTTTTTTGTTTTTAAAAATAAATTGCAGGGTAGGCTATTTATTTCTTAAAACAAGAAACGTATTTCTTGGAGGAGCTAGCTACGGCTAGCTTTCTCGCTTTCTCGTTATTGACTGGTGCTAATAAATTGATTTTGATCCAATATCTAACTGTAAACTCTGAACCTTAAAAGTACTTTTAAAAATTGTTTTATTACATATTTTCTTGAGATATTTGTCTTAAGCTGAAAATTTATATGTATATAAATACATTATTTGCAGCGTTTAAACGCTGAATTCTAAAGCCAATTTGGTTCAGAAACAAGAGATTTGTGACAGTGATGGATCCAGCATTTTTTGTTGTTTGAGATAGCTAACATGGAGCGAAATCCAAACAATTGTATGTTTAAATTTATGTCAAATAATGATGTTTTTTAAAAAGTTACAATGATTGGAGGCTGTGAACAAAAAAAGCCCTAAAATTTTATCGCCCCTGTCCTAAACGTGAAAGCAATAAGTTAATGAAATAATTTTTTTGCTATTCTTAACCAAATTTATATTCATCGATAAATTTTAAGTTTTGTTTTACAATCTCTAAACGTTCAAAAATAATGACTACATAAAATTTGTAATCCCCTCAAATTGAGGGGGGTTTAAACTTTATATGGTCATAATTTATGAACTCTGAGAGATATTACTATGAAGCTTAAAGTTTATTAATGAATATAAACAAAGTTAAGAATTTCAAAAAAAATATTTTATCAACTTGTTGTTCCCACGTTTTGGGCAGGGAGTCGAAAAAAAATTATGGAATTAGCTTAGGGATATATTGGCCTTTTTGAGGGTTAAAATTTTATAATAGCCTTAATTTCCAAAAACACCTGGAGTTAACGTGACGTGACAGTCTTTTATGTTAAAGTTACTTTTATTATGTAAAAAAATATCGAAAATTTTTAAAGAAAATAAGTAACTTTGAAAATAAGTAAGATAAGAAAATAAATAACTTTGAAGTTTAGCAAATTATTTGTTAACAAAAAGCCAAGAACTTTAATTCAAATAATATTTTGCCGTTTACTAAAATTTATTGAAGTATAAATACCAAATTAAAAACACGTTTAGAAATAGTCTGGTATAGAACAGACTTATCATGACCCGTATCGTAAGGGTCATGTTAGCTAGTGTAATATAATTATGTAATATTGTTTGTAACATAGCTTGTTCTTTTTAAGTTAATTTTAATTTAGATACCTTTTAATCTAGCTTGTTCAAGTTTTAATGGAATTAAACTTTTTTTTTCTTCCGGAGGAGTTGATGAGGGGGGTATTATTGAAACTTTAACGTCAAATGTATAAAAATTCTTTTGAAAATTGATAAAAATCCTGTCCATGGAAAAAAAAATTAAAAACCAATGCAAAATTATGACAACCATTTTTAGGTAATTTCACGCCAGTGTTCTAACAGTGCAACAAGTTGAAGGTTGTCAATTTTAAAGGACTAATTATTAAAAATCTAAATAGCTTTTATTTTAATTAATGACAAAAAAAACAACAAAAAAACAGAATGTTATGGAAAACTTTCTTGACGCCCAAGGTTTTAAACAAAAAAAGTCGCTTTAGGAGCTTCTGGTACAAGTCTGGTACAAAAGATGTAGAAAACAAAAACAAACTTTTATTCAACTAAAAACAAACTTTTATTCAAGTGTAGTAATAGTAAACAAAAAAATATTGCTAGATAAAAATATAAAAATGCAGGAGAAATATTAACAAAAATATTTAAATAATTAATAAATAGTAAAGCAAATAGAAAAGAAAGTAAAAAACACAAATTTATAAAACATATATATATATATATATATATATATATATATATTATATATATATGTACGTTAATTTCTAGATTTATATAAAAATATAGTCCTAGTCCATATACTTAACAGTTTTAATATAGCATACAGAAAAAAAAAATACAAAATTAAATCTTTTCTTAACGTCGATGATTAGAAAACTGTTTTGCGTTGTGCTTTATAAACGAAGTGTTTGTTTAAGAAACCCGCCACGTGACATTTTATTCAAAAGTTATATTATTATAGATTATGAATGGACAACTTTAGTCACACCGTCGTATGCAGAAACACGTGATTTATTGGCTTTTCAATGGGTTGCATTTTGTTTTTAAAATAAAGTTTGTTGAAGAAACCTTTTAAAATTTGGAAGTTTTTGATAGTTTTCCGAAAAAAAAAACAAAAAAAAAAAAACAACCTAAATGACGGGTTTCTGAAACAAACGAATTCAAATGTATATATGCAAGAAATACCAAATATTTCTAGATCTTTATAACTAAATTTATTTTTAATTATTGAAGTTTTTCCTCAAGAAAAGTTAAAATAAAAAAAAATCATATGAATCTTATATAATTTTTACATTTTGAGTTGTCAGCAGAAACCGGAGTTGTTAAAAGTGCAAAGGCTAATAATTAAATGCTATTTTAACTACCTGAAAAAGCTAATTTTACAGTTAGCGTTTTTTTGCCGATAAGAATCTTTAAATTGTTTTATTACACAAAGTATACATAATAATGCAGTTAGGTCTTTCTTGCATATATAGATTCAATTAAAAAAAAAAATATTTTTGTTTTGAATATTCGCTCAAGAAATCGTAATATGCTTATTTGCGCGAAATCGTGGATGCTTCTCACATTAATTTTTGTACAAATAATACTTTAAAACGGTTACTGAGGCAATAAACTGTAAGATATCATAATTAGTTTGTTGAACCATAGCTCGTAGGAAGGGGTTGAGATAACAACATTGGATTTACTGGTTGGTGATCAACAATTGGAGAAAGCTGATTAGTAACTGGTAAACCATTTGGTTGTGCCTGAAACAGTGATGTTAATTAGTAACAAGCTTGAAATAAATTTGAAGAAAAAAACAAACAACAACAACCTATAATTAATGCTAACCTGTTGCATATTATTAAACGCATAAACTGGTATGTAATTCATGTCACCAAAAGTGTTAGCATCATTTTCATCACTTATATTTGTTGCAGTAGCTCCAACCATAGGAACATATAAGGGTGGACTCATCTGTGGGTAACCCATAAAACCATCTAATAATACAAAATGATTTAAAATTTATTTGAAATAAATTAATTCAAGCTATTATAATAGTTTCATATTATGAAAAACTTGAAAATTATTTAATGATATAAAAACTCAATAGTTAAACCTATTTTGATTGTGCCTCATAGGGATAGCTCCTTTACTTATTTTGATCGCAAATTACTTTCAGGAGTCCATTTTTGGGGATCCCTTATTCAAATACATTAAGGTACTTAATGTATTTGGATAAGGGATTTTGAAAAAGTACTCCATGGCTGTTTTGGGAAATCATTAGGCTCTACTTATGTCAAAGATATAGAACAGTTGTCTACGAGCTATAGAAATCTAGGGCCTAAAATTCCTTTGAAAGTACACAGTTGAGCAACATATTATCAAATTCATCAATATTAAAGGTGCAGTCTTCGGTATGATAAATAAATTTGAAGTTTGACAAAAGATTAAATTAATATTATTTGATTATAATGAAAGTAATTAAATACTTATTATTACAATAATACAACAGTTTATGCAAGTTTAAACTTGCATAAACTATGAAGAATATTCATTAAATAGACTAAAACTTATTTTGTACATTTTAAATTCTATACGCTTAGGTTACTGGACCGAACAAGCTCTGGAATCCATTCACCCGGATTTCAATCAGTTTAGGCGAATGAGAAAAGTTAGAGAACATAGCCCAAACTATATTGAAGCGTTAAAAAACGAAGCTGTTGCTTACAACTACAAACACTTTTAAAGTAACTTTCAATTTGCAGGTAGCTTGTAAAAAGTATAATGTTAATCTCTTATGAACAATTGCTTAGCATAATTTCTTAACATATGATATGATTATATGCAAAATATAAATAATAATTTAACCAAATAGACCAGATTTTTTTTTTACGGCCATAAGGTAGTTGTAGTTAACTCTATTGGACCCCTAGTGTTTGGTTCCCTAATGGAATTTTTCAATTTTTTTTTGTGTTATATTAAACTAGCTATCAAAATTCATCGACAGATTATAAATTTCATCAAAAAAAAATATCTAGTTTAAAAGTTACAACCATTCAAAGTTATTTCAGGGGGTAAATATGTGGAATTTTGAACTTCTTATGATCATAAATCTTAAACAAAAAGATTTTTTGAAAAACTTGAAATCTGTTAATAAATTTTGGTCTAATTTATGAAAGAACTTGAAAAAAATTTTAATTAGCTTAGGAGACGTAGTTCTAGGAAGGGGTTAACTCGGGGTCAGGACGGGTTTTGTTTAGCTCCTATTACCTAAACTTTTTGCAATTCATCCTGATTTGATACCAGTATTAACATACTAAAAGTTTCAGTTATCTATCTTTAGCAACAAAATGAGATAGAGATGTGTTGCAAGGTCTCAGAGCATCTTCCTATGCACCGTGAAAGACAACATAAAAGCAATTTGAAAAAATTTACAATTACATATAAATTTACAATTACATTAAAAGTAAATTTTTTCTTTGAAATTGTATACTTTACTTTGTAAGTAAAACGCAAGTTACAATATTTACTTTCTTAAAAGACAGCCATTTCATGTTGATTTAACATAAGTTTTGAAATGGATTGCATTTTCAAAGCATTTGCTTGTTTGTGAGCATTTCTGGGTAATACTTCAGGTAATAATTTGTTGTATGTAGGCAGTGTTTGTCGTGGATTGCAAAGGGATTTCTTTTTAAGTATATCTTAAAGGGTGATTCTAATAAAATTGGTACACCAGTAGCATAGAGACAGTATACCATTTCTTTACCATCTTATCTGAAAAAAGATAGTAAAGAAAGCCGGTTAATCTTTTACTAAAGGTACTAAAGCACTTTTACTAAAGGTGGGGGCACCCCAAGAATCTTCTTTTTGTAGTGTTGGTTTTCAACCTGCCTAAGTAAAATTGGAAAATAAAATATTATTCAATTAAAATAGTACTTTAGAATAAACTTGTAATTTTTTATTAAGTATTAACTTGATACCACAAGTTGTTTGTCAATTATCAGTTGTCCCAGGACGCAAATGATTTTTTACTACCTTTTTGACTAGCTAATGCTCTAAAACCTTTAGCGTTTGTGTCACTTTTATAAACATACATTGTTTTCAGAGCTAATTGAGGAACTCCACTTTTTTGAAACTCCACTTTTTTCTTTTTTTAAAGTTGGTTTATTACTTTTTAGAAAGAAAGACTTTTTACAAAATAGCTTTGAAAAGACTTTTTTTTGATATACTTGTTTTAGTATTAAAGTTTTTTAGTAGTAAAATCTGGAGATGCAACTGGTACTTTACAGACCTATGTACTTTACAGACCTATTTCAATACTACTATGTTTCTAAAGAATATTAAAAAATATTATGCATAAAAGACTCTACTATTTCTTAGATTGACATCCTCCATAACAAAAAAACTAGCACAAGTGCAAACTGACAAGTGCAAATTGGCATAAGTGTGCTGAATAAATTGCATACATTGGCATAAGTGCAAATTGACTTGAGTGCGAACTGGCAGAAGTGCAAAGCAGTTACAAAAACTAGCATAAGTGCGAACTGGCATAAGTGTGTTGAATAAACTTAAAAGCATTGGGATAAGTGCGAACTGGCATAAGTTTGAAGCTTTTGCAAAAACTGGCATAAGTGTGAAATACCAATTTGCACTTATGCCAATTCACACTTATGCCAATTCGCATTTATGTCAAAGTTTGAAAAATCTTTTGTCGCACTTATGCCAATTTGCACATACGCCAGTTCACGCTTATTTAGCCTCCCTGTACTGCTTGACAAAAATGTAACATGGAGAGGTCATATAAAATATATTAAAGTTAAAATAATAAAGAGTATGGACCTACTTTAGGGCAAAATCTTTTTTAAATTCAAGTTGTTTAAAAAAAACTCTTATATTTCTTCTTTATTCATTCCTATATTAATTAAGCTAATGATGCTTAGTGTAATACTGATAAAAATAAATTGAAAAAACTCTTTAATATGAAAAAACATGCAGAACTAATTAATCAGAATTATATCCAATGAAAAGTGCTATACACCCTCCTAACCTTCATTTACTAAGTTAAATAATCTAAATATCTACTAAACAAATATTCATCATATTATAATTTTTATGTTCAAAATTAGTAAAAGTTTTATTTCAAAAACAAATATGCAAACCAAAAGTTATATTGCAGCAACTGAGTTTTCAATTTCAATTAAAAGACCAAAGGCATGGAATAAAATACTTACAACTGAATTTTAAACTCTTAAAATGTTGAATGAGTTTAAGGCTTAATATAGACAGTTATTACTAAGGAATGATATACCACAAAACTATTTCTGAAATATACACCCTTATGATTATCACATAATGAAAAATATGTTGATTTTAGAAAAGATTGAGTTAAATGCACTTGATAACTTTTTTAAATTTATTTGTCTTTATTTAATATGTATTGTTATTCTTTTCATTTTTAATCTTTAAACTTGTTTTGTGTTCTAAAGTTAGGTATTAAAAAAAAAAAAAAATTATAAATGCAAGATTTTTCAATAAATAAAAATTAAATAACATTTTTTTTTAGTAGAATATCTTTAAGTAGGGTGTGTCGATTTTTATGGTAAAATGCACTTTTTTAAATTTAGAAAAAAGAGTAGTAAAAAAATATAAAAAAGAGGAGTGATGGTTTTAGAAATGAAATTATTTCAGTTTTGTAGCTTGGTAATTTTTCATTTTATCATTACTTATTTTGGTTATTACCAAAATAAGTACTAAAAATGCGTAACTATACACCTCTTTCCATTTATACTTCATATTCGGACCAAAAGGAAAGCTCCGGTAAACTTATTTAGTCATTTAAAGGTGTCAAATAGAACAAGGAATGCATTATTTATCAAAATGTGCAAACTTGTAGACAATAGAAAAGAACTTTAGGTATCTGAGCTTCCAACAGCCAGAGATATTTTACAATATGGTATACTTTTAAGAGAAATTAGTGAGAAAAACACGAGGAACTATATTGTAGATCTGGTACCAGCTGTACTTGGTCAATGGTTAAACGCAAATGCACTTTTTATATATCCAGTTGTAATCCATGAAAAAACAATTTTTAAAAAACTCTTGAAAAAACTTTTAAAAAACTTTAAAAAAATGTATATGGAAATCGGCTGTTGATTTTAGTAGTGGACGTGGTAAAAAAGCTGAAAAAGCAAGATTTTCTTTAAAATTAGACAAACTTGTGGACATTTTACAATGTAAATGTAAATTAATTCTTTGTTCAGAATATAAATGTGTTTCAGAATGTATGGAAAAAATTCATATAAAATGCAAGTATAAGAGAGAAGATAGAATTCCAGTTGCAGAGTTTCAATTCATTTATTCTCAGAGAACTAAAATAGGAAGCCTTGGAACTTTTCATATTGGTGGTGAAGATAGGGAAGAATCCAAAAAAAATTGAAAAAAATACAGCAACAAAAAGTAACAATGATAAAGAAAAAAAGGTAGCTGGTTAATTAGAAAGCTTGTACTACAATATAATATATACAAACATATATTATAATATATGAGTTTGAGTTTATTTATTTCAGAAATCAATTATATAATACATTTATATACTTTGATGAGTAAGTGCTACACCATGCTGAAAAAAGACACTTGTGTGTCGGATCATTCCTCTATTACGAATTTCAATCTATGAACGAATTTCAATCTATGATTGAACGAATTTCAATCTATGAACCTTAAACGAGTTGACTGATTCAGCTCTTATGGCGTTTAAAGGTAGCATATTCCTAGAAATTAAATCTTTCTTGACAGTTTTTTACCCTTTGACGTTCGAGTCGAAGATAATGTCCACGTAAATTATATTTGTAAATCGATGGTGCGTAGACTTGAGGGTTATCAAAAATAATTTGATCAAGACCTTTTGAAATTTTAAACTGTTGAATCAGATCACCTTGAACTCTCCTTTCTTTAAGAGTAGTTAAGCTGAGATAAAAGAGTCTTTCTTCATATGACA